AGATAAGGATTACATGGAGGAATTGGAACATACTAATTATGACCGATCTCGTCTCATTAATGACTTCGTGGTCAAAAATAAACCTGAACCCAAAACAAAATCGACTAAGGTAATGAAAACTAAGCTGTCCTTCGTCCACTTTTACGATGTAACATTTAAGATCTTTGGATATTAGGTGCAGTTTAACACAAGGAACGACTTCAGTTTCAGTTGTCACTGCATGACTAATAATCACAACTTTGCCTATAACTTCCTTTGTGATGTTTGACTTTTGTCTGGCTTGCATTCATTTTGCAGATCTCTTTAGTCACTACAATGCATCAGTGAAGAAAGATGGCAGCGTTTAAATATTATGATCATAAATGAGACCGTACTTGAACAGATGTAGACATAGTTATGCCAAATTTCTTCATTTCTGTTTGTTTTGGTGTTGTGAAAGGGGGTAGCTGTCCTATCCCTGAAACTCAAAGTCATCCTTGCAAAACTGGGGTTTATGTCCCCACATGGGGTTCATTTTCTTCCCTTTGACTGACTGACTGGCATGACTGGATGTGTAGAGACTGTAAATGTGTAAGCATTGCTCAAAGTGAACTGAGAGGAGTTATAAAAGACATTGAGATATTGTTCTTTAAGGGTATATACAGGACCAATTGGACTGGAGCCAGCAGATGGCATAATGGTTATGTTGCTGGACTCCCACATAGTCGACCACAGTTCAAGTTCCAGACCCGGCAACTTAAAACTCATGCCTGGCGCATGTATGTGCATGCCCAAGATCCCAAAAGGAAAATGGAGAAGGGATTGCAGCATGGTCTTCCACCCTAGGGAATGATTTTTCACTTTCTGTCTTTCTATCTGTCTCTCTGGTGAGCACACGCACCCTACTTCAAAAATACCTCTTAAAAATAAAAAAGAAAAGAAACACCAATTGAACAAACATAATATGCTTCAAATAATAAGAAAATGATCTAAGATTAATGTCTGTATTACCTGTTTCTCTGAAATTTACCACATTCCATAAATGGCATGCACTATTTCACTTCCCTTTTTATTATTATTATTTATACATTCAACCACTATACATCATTTAGATTGTAAAGAGACTTTACCCAGCATGGTATACATCTCAGACCAGCCCAGTTGAAAATACTGTACACATCATCATCCACAGGTAATAAGCTATATCTGTGTCCCACAGGTGTCTTCTACTTAACTGTAGCCATTTCTCAAGTCCCCCTGTCATTGAACTCCAATTTTAGAATATTGAAGTTAAAAAGAAATAGCTAAGGGTCTAGCAAGTGGCATGGTGATTATGGCACTGGACTCTCATATGGCTGACTGCGTTTCGAGTCCCGGACCTGGTGGCTCTAAACTCATGTTGGGTGCGTGTGCATGCATGCCCAAAATCCTAAGAGGAGGATGGAGGGGAAGGGATTGTGTTGTGGTCAGCAACCCCCTCCCCCGCAGGGGGGTGATTTCTCACTTTTTCTCACTCTGTCTCTATGTCTCTGTCTCTGGTGAGCACATGCACCCTGCAGCAGAAATCTCTCTAAACAAAAAAGAAAGAAAGAAGTAATTAAACCTACAGGCATATTTTGGTTTTAACATTAAAATAAGAGAATAGTGTGCTGATGGTAATAGACCATAGTGCTGATTGTCCTGAACATCATTCACGACATAGGTTTCTGTTTTGCTATGCAAAATTATGTCACGACTTTCCAGACGACCCAATACTTCTCAAACTGGAAAATAACACCATGGCTCACTTGACTGACTCACTCTTCTAGGTTTTACCAAGATATGTCCACTCCTTTTTTCTATTTTCAAAACATGTCCACTCTTACTCATTTCATAAGTTAGAGTACAAGCACAAATTCCATATGAACAAAGAGTTCAAAAACAAATGTTAAAATGTATTTAGCAGGCTACTTGCAAAGTTTATATACAAGTGAAGAGCAAATAATCTCCTTAAAAATATTCTGGGTGTACACTTGTCACAGAGAATCTCAAATGAGCAATGCATTTTTCTTATTTGGATTAATGTCTGGATGCTCTGTACTTCTTCCTAATGATTTCCCATCATTCAATTATTATGTATTGGAGCCAACAGATGGCATAGCAGGTAAGGCACTGTATCTCACATAGCTGACTATGGTTTGAGTCCTAGACCTGATAGCTGGAAACTCACCATGCGCAAGTGAGTGTACATATGTGTGTTCAAAATCCTCAGAAGAAAATGGAGGGGAAGGGATAGCAGCATGGCCATCCTCCCTGGGGGGTAATTTCTCACTTTCTTTCTCTCTCTGTTTCTCCGGTGAGTGCTCACACCCTATAGCAAAAAAAATCTCTTATAAAAGAGAAAGTATTATGTATTTATATTAGGGAGTTTTCAAAAAGTTCTTAAAAAGTGTATACCATGAAACAACTATATATGGATTTTAAAATTTTTGCATAAAGATAAATTCATATTTTAATTATATTTTTTGTATAAACCTTTTGAAATATGCTCATCTCTGTATTATACATGTATATTTTATGTACGTGTATATTTTATATATGTATGCATGTACACAAATCTATGTATGTGCATATACACGTATATATATGTGTGCACAAACATACACATATAAAATATGTTTATATTGCTCTGTCCCGTGCATACTATGCAAGGTAGCTGATATTTTGTTTCTTTATGAGTGTTACTTAATTGCAATGGTCCCATTGAAAATTTGGCTTGCTACTCATTGTGAAAACACTTCCTGAAGAGATCTTGAGTCAGGCTGATGAATCTAGTTTTTAATTATGTATCCCCAGCTTGTAATAACTTAAGAAGCTATGTATATTTACAAGTAACTATAGTTTGTTTTAGAATTGATCTTCTAATCAATGAATGGTATCTTTAGAATATTTTGTTTCAATTCATGAATATTTAGCCTGTGTTATTTATACCAAAGACCTTTAATATTTAGCGACTATAAACATTGCAATATTGGTATCTAATATGATGAAGTAATATAATAAATAGGATATGTTTTGCTTTATTGAGAAGTTACTATGAGGGAATCTTGACACACTAAGTCATAAAAACGTGGCAAACACTGGATAGCTTTGGCTTCCCAAGTGCTGGGAAATGGACTTGCACATCAATGGAGAAGGCCCAGGGATTCTAGAAGTTAGTCATGACACGAAGGAGGGCCTAAGTATTTTCAGCTAGCCTTGAGTTTAGAGCCAGGCTTTGCTTTTAAATTTCTCAGAGATACCGTGGTGGATTAAAAGTTGGCCACTGTCCTTTCTTCCCTATATTCAGTCTGTGTTCAATGAGACTTTGTAGCTTCCTCCATCAAAAGGTAATGTCTATTAAAATGGCCTTGGGCCTTGCTTTGGCCAGGAGATTTGCTGAAGAAGTGACATTTTATCACTTCCGAGCCACTCTGTACAATAATATTCACTAATTGGAAATATCCATTAGAAGGAGAATGGTTCCTGAGCTGAGAACATTCATAGATTTGAATCCTATTTAATGATGAAAAAGAATTATGATACATATCATAACATGAATATATCTCAAAAACACGATGCTGAGTAAAAGAAGCCTTACACGAAACAGTAATATCCAATTTATGTCAAAGTTTAGCAGGCAAAGCCAACATGTGGTTGAAAAAATCAAAACAGTGTTCTCATGCTTTCTCCTGGAACCCTGCATCCTTCATGGGATCAAGCCAGAGCTGCCCTTGAGCAGGAGGAGAGACCGTGTGGCCCAGAGCACAGTGAGCACTCCTGCTCCCATTGAGGCAGAAGCCAGAGAGTCAGCAGCAATGGCCAGGGAAACCATAGCCATGGTAAATCCCCTCAGAGACTAGAACCACCCAGTGAGTGCTGCTCTATGCACAGAAAGTGAGCTATGGGATTGTTTGGGATAGATTTGTTTCTCAACAAGAGGTGACGGAAGTGGCTATGACACTGAGTGATAGCATGTTGGCTGATACCGGGGTTACTGACATAGTTCACAACTCCTAATGTACCATAATGTTTACTCCGTTCCAGGGAAGACTTGCAAAACGTCCCTGATTTTCCCACTGCATGCTCATATTATTCATTTAATTCTGTAGAGCACTGGTATATTTTAAATAGCATAACCATAAGCTAAAACTTCCCAAGAATGTTTATCTTTTTAGAACTCTATTCACAAAAATGCTTTCTCTGTGAAAATATTATACTGGGGCAGAATTCCAATTACCTTTAATTGAAATATCTGTTTAAGCCTAGCAGTAGTCACAACCAACCATCAAAATTGATAAAGAATAATTTTTTGAAAGGTAAGTTTATTTTCTTTCTTATAGTTTGCCCAAAGGGCTTGGTCACACTTGGTGTGGCCAAGAAATTTTAGGAGGTAATTTTGTAATGTAAGAAAAAGAACATCCATATAAATTTAGAGACTGGAGCAAAGTTCTAGAGCAGATGAGAGGGATTGTTTTTAGGTTCATTTGGATAATATTACTTTTGTGTCCTTCCTCAAGATGGAGAGTACTGTGAATAACATTTGAAGATAAGCTTATATAGCCCACTGTATGATCCCCAGAACAAGTGGGTCCTTGGAAAAGTCATGATGTGTGTTTGCGTAGAGAAGCACGTCATGACTTTCCAGATGACCCAATAGAAAGAATCCCTCTGTCCATTGAGACCTATGCCCTGTCTGCCAGTGGAGGCCTCTAGGTGTGGACTGTTCCTAGGGGACATCTATAGTCAATCTCGGTTGGAAGGAGCAAGCCTATGAGGCAGAATCCATGGCTTCTGTAATGGGGATGAATTGTTTCCTTCTGTCACTGTCACTTGGGATCCCCAAATTAGCTATAGACATTTCCAGTAATGAATCTGGAAATATAAATCTGTTTCCTAAGTTACAGCAGCTTCTTTTGAAATGGTGTTGGATATCAAATCAGGCGGTAAAGAGGTAATGAATCAGGACAACCTTGATATGAACATTTTAGCAATTCATTAAAATTAGATTGCAAAGCCATTCGGTTTGACTGGGTCAACTGGAATGGGCAGACGGTGTTCAGCTTTGACTCAGTGGGCAGTAGAACGATTTTCTTTAAGACTTAGTCCTAA